TTTGTTTCACTCTGCCATATACTCAAACAGAAGCATGATTATTATAAGTCGTTTCGTGTTATGAACAGTGTGCTTCCTCGATTTCTCCATTAAAAATCACAAAAAAGGGCTTTCGTTATTGGTCATTAATATAATCATTGAAGAGGTTATCTGCACTCCATGCACGTATCATCCAAGCCCAAATCCACTCATCATATTTCCTAATTTTCTAAAGTATCAAAATCATAATATGCACAATTATTCAATAGGATTCGTACCACACATATATGACACATAAATAATCTTCCAAAAGATACCATAATCATAATTTTCGAAAATTTGAATTATTCCACAAAAATAATTATATAATTAATCATGTTATCTTCTCGGGGTTAAAACCCAATAAAATTCATATATAATTACCCTACGATTAACTAAAGATTGGGACTATATATAATAAATTTCATTTAAAAGATAATCTACAATTTTTTATGGATTAGGATTACGTGGTCTCCATTTTTGCTAATTTCTAGAAAGAATAATTTGGGGCAGAGAAAGAGAGTAGTAGAGGAGAAATGTTAAAGAGTGAATTGGTTTGGTTAGGCTAGGCCTCTATTTATAGGTGAAGTTTTGGGCTTGGGTATGGATTTCATGCAATTATTTCCTTATTCTTCATTGATGTATCTGGCTCAGATATTGGCTTCATACATTATTTTTTTTTTATTCTTAATTTCTTCTTAGAATATAACTAACTTATTTGCTAACTCAAGGCTGACTCATGATTGACTCATCATATCTAATCAAATTACTAATCAAACATTACCAATCAAACATTAATACATAAATCATCAATCAATTAATAAATCAATTAATCATAATTTATCATCTAATATATATATATATATATATATATATATATATATATACGTATTAATATTATTTTATAAATAATTTAGAGTATTACAAAGTATCAAAATAAATTTTCAATAACACATATCACACAAAAATCATTTTATAAAAGGTAAAATTGTAATTTGTTATCTATCACCATCAAAATATAAATAAATAAATAAATATATGTATATATATATATATATATATATATATATTATTACTACTAATTTATAGTTTATTATTATTATCACATAAATAAGATAATATTACTATTATTATTATCTTACGTCTTATTATTTTAACTATAGTTAACCCATTAATTAAAAATATTAAATACCAATATTATTAATTACTAAATATCAGTATTATCCAAAAAAATTATTATTATTATTATTATTATTTTATTAATAAAATATGTGTAACATTTAACCCTTTAAAATTAAATTATGGAACCAATTAATATTCCATTGGAAAATGAATGATTAATTTTAAATATGAGACATCTTAGTCATGAGTGTATATTTAATTTTATCGAAACATAGAAGGCGAAATTATTATAAGAATGATTTAGTAATAACATATAGAAGGAATTTAAAATTAGGTAAAAGGCATGTAATTTATTACCTCATGGGTTGGTTATAAAATAACTAACAATATTTGGATTAGATAAATTGGACTCACACCCTTTGTGGAGCCGACGACCCATGTGGTTTAAGTGTGAGTTTTGAGTTCAGCCCATTTGTTCATAACATCATAATCTTATCTCATCCTAGTGAATCCAACTAAATAGATTCTGATTGGGTAGCAATTACATTTGGCAACTAAATCAGCCATTATCCCCTTGTATGGTGCGCTGCCTTGGGCAGCAAAAAGGGAGCTGATCACTTGTGCTTTTAACATACCCACTCAGCTTTAATTTGAATCTGGTTAGCTTTATGGCATGCATCCAATAGGAGGAGGGGGATGCAGTGTGCATGTTGCCTCATTGGCTTGGAAAAAGTCTCACCCTTAACTTACTCCCCTCATGCGCTGATCAGAGGAGAAAATAGTGAATAAATTATGTTTGCCCAAGCCTTTAAAACCAACATTTAACCCTTCACCCTCTCATTCCTTTAGGCGCTGGTAGTGTAGAAGAGTTAGGTTGCAACTTGGAATAGGGAAACAGAAGCAAAACCATACAACCACATACTTCCACCCACCTTCTCCTTGTTTCACCTTGAGGAAGAGTAGCCACATAAAGTCTAGTTTCTCTCTGTAAAGAAAAGCGCAACACCACCCTCTCCACCAAATTCTTCTCAAAGTCGTGACACCACTAGGGATTCAGCTTCAAGAAATAATTCCATATTTCCTCCTATTGTCTGCCTCTGAACCGTGCAGCCTTGAGGAAGAACCAAGGTCTTGAAAACAACTTCTCTCCTCTGATTTCCTAGCCGTGCGTTTGTATTCGAAAAGGTAAAGTGTATCTCTACTTCACTGCTCATCCATTTGGTTGTAGGAGGCAAATTCTTTAATACGAAACTAATAACTCTAGCTAAGTCCTCTTCTTTTTTTTCCCTGTACGGTCACCGTCTTGAAGGGTGGAGAGCACTATTTTTGGAAACTTGCTATTCTAGTGGAGCTCAAAGGATTGTGTTGTTGCTCCTTGCCCTTTTGGTGTTCCTTGTGTATCGTCCAGGGGTAGGTACAAAACCTCAATTCTTTTTCCTTGCTAAACCGAGAAACCTGCTTAGAAAGTAGTAGTCTTAGTTGTGGTATAATTCTGCCATGTATGCTTTTAGGCGGTTGGATGATAATGAACTTAATAATAACTTTAAAATTAATAGTAGGACTGTTTTGGTGATAGTTTAGTGCACCCTTAAATTCTATGATGCAAAATAAATAGGCCAGCATGTATAGGTCCCTGTAGCGCATCAGGCATGGAATTAAAAGAGTTTTGAAGTAAGTTATCCTTAACGGTTTGGTGTAGAGAAAGTCGATTCTGACCTGAAAAATGTTGTTGTGCACTAAGACCATTTTGGCTAAAATATTCATTATGATGTAGGACTCCATTTACACACCATTGGTCACGTTAAACAAAAATTTTGAATTTATATCATGAGCACCTTTGTATGGTCAAGGCAGACTCTGTTTTAGAGAACTTTGTTATGTTTTAGGTCATTTTTAGAATTTAATAGACAGCACATTCATAGGCTATACCTTGCGCATCCTAGAATAGTGAAGTGGAAATTATATGATTGGAACCTTGAGGAATTCTCCTTTATAAAACCGCTGCTGTGTGGGATTAAAAGTCACGGAATTACTCAATCTTAAGCGTCTAAGAGGTTATTAAGGAGTCCGTATATGATTAGGAAAAATGCCCTACAAACCGAGAAGGAATTTAAGGAGAAATAAGCTAAAAATACATGCTATACGTAAGAAATTGTAGCGAAAAATTCTGACTTCGCAAACCTTGTATTTAGGTGCGCACTTTTCGTAAGGTGGTGGACTTTCTGCTGCTGCCCGGTAAATTATTGTGACGTGTGAGGTATGTGTTAGGTGGTATTACCTAATGTGACTATTAGCTAGTGTATGAGATTGTGATGTGTTGCTCACATATGTTCAATGTTATTTTATGATGATGATATGGCAATGGTAAGAATATGAAATGATGATAATGATATGTGCATGCATTTTTACATCATGATGCATTTTTCTATTTGGTGTGTGACTGCATTTCATGGCATGTATACAATAGATTCATGTAGGCTTTGAAATGTAGAATAGTTATATCCAGGATCATGTGTATGAGCACGCATCATATAGGCATCCCTTGATATCGGGGTACTGGGACAGTTGGCGTCAGTCCGCATAGGCCACAGTGGAATTCCCCAAATGATGGTGCCATGCATGGAATTTCCACTGTGTATACACGCGCACGACGGTGCCATGAGCGTGAAGAAGGCGATAGATATATATGCAATATGATACATGATGAAAATGATTTAATGTTCGAAGCGACTATTTATAATTTTGTGCCTAGTTTAATATTGTTGCATTATTGGTTTTGTTGCCACACTACTAGGATTATTCTCACCCCTTTGGGGTTGCAATTTTTAAATTGCAGGAGGACGTAAGAGCATTTAAGGACTTGGATGTTTGAGTTTTGCTGTATTTTGCTGCTAATTGGAACTATTCTCTGTTGACTGCTTCAAGCTTTGGATGACTGTATTATTTAGTACTTGATGATTTTTGGATGACTGTAAAACTACTATTTCTTTCTTCTTTAAGCCTTCTACAAACAGCGGCTACTTTAAGCAAATCTGAAAGCGTTTTGCGAAAAGGAATTTTTCTAAATGCTGAATTTTTAACAGTTTACGGTCAACTTCTGAGTTACGTTTCAAGGAGCAAATGACCTCCGATTTACTATTATTTTATATGCACGCGAAGCCCCAAGCGTCTACTTTCAGATTTCATTAACTGTACGAACATATTTTGAAGGCTCGGTTTTATATCAATATGTAAAGGAATACGGTTTTTCTTAAATTTTCACCGTTTTTATCAGCAACACCTTTTAAATTCCCTCCATCAAAATTTTCCTTAGATTCAGCTTTCCACTTCAATTCCTCAAAGATTTTTAAAGAAAAAGTTTTTATCCATTTTCGCAACTCTAATAATGATTAGCAAACGACTTTCTTGGATGCATATAAGAGAGGGTGTTACAATACGGGTATTACAATATCATAAATTCAATGTATATCCAAACAACATAATATAGAACAAAATCATTCAAAAAGCTTCTTTAACCAATAAAATGGGATGAAATGAATTGAGGAGAAATAGAGACTATTACAAGTAGTAAAATAAAAATAAAAATAATAATAATAATATAATATACTAGGCCAGCCTGAGAGACTCTAAGGCCGAACTTTTGAACTGGAGCCTGAGGCGTTTTTATTAAACGAGCTTTTATACAAGTTCAAGTCTGGTGCTAACAACCAATTTTAGACCTCAAGCCTTCACGAACCGAGCCAAAGGCCCTTGAAAGGCTCCTGGCTCGTTTAGCAGCACCCCTATAAGTGACTTTATTATACCCTCAAAATTAAAAAATATAATTTCCTTCATTGTAGCAGTGAAGTCGTGTTGCTATGGCCGTGAACTGCTACTTGAGATTTTGGCCATTAAGGCTGCTACGATAAACGGTAGAGTTGTGTGTGGCTTGTTGCTGCTGGGTGCCACTACCTGCTACCAATCCGCTATAGTGCACGATAGCACTGGTATATGCAACTATGCCCTAAATAGGAGATATTTTCCCTAAATTGGATATACTTTTCAGCAAAATACTCTTAAATAGAAGATCGAGAAGAAAACAAGTCAAATTGACTTCATTATGTTCCATATCTTGCATCTTTCTTTGCATAAGAGTAAAAGAAATTCTCTTAAAACAACCATGAGCAGGGCAATCAGGAGAGGCGATAAACTCAATCTTATCCCATAATAAATGTGTGGAAACTGTTTGATGCTCTTATGATGATTAGAGTAGTAGATGTGATTTCAGAGTTCTTAAAATTTAGTTACTATTGTTTAATTCTTATATGCAGTCTTACCACTGTTTTCCAACTTCGAATTAGTGACTTTTCAGTCACAAAGGAGAGATTTGCCCTCTTTGATATTATCCTTTAAAATAATAAAATTTAAGGTTGTCATTTCTGATGAATAGTGCAGCTTAAATTTCAGTGGCAGTTGGATATGTGAAATGTAGAAAACTTTCACAAATTGGGTACTGGTTTTTTGTTTGTTGAAAGTGATTTTGGTTTTGATATTTGTACAACATAACAACGATGCATGTTTGTGCTGTGAAGTTATGGTCTCTATTGAAATATTTGTATTGATGGTTGCATAGACTTAGCAACATTTTTTTTCTGTTAAAATCTTTCTTCTTGTTTCTTAAAAAATTGTTATTTTCCAGTATTATTTGATTTAAAGTATTTAATAGTTTCTTTTATTGCCATCATATGCCCAATTGATTTGATACTCATTTTTTCCCTTTCTGCTTAAAGCCAATGGCAATTAAACAAGTTCTATCAGATCAAGATAGCGAGGATGAAGTTGATGAAGATGTTGCAGATTTTGAAGATCGATGGGTACGTTCAATTATATAGAAATGATATTTTTGTTTTCATTTCATAAAATTCCAATCTTCTAATTGTAACTCTTGAACAAAATTGTACCCAAAAAAAATCTCTTGAACAAAAAAAATTCTCATTGAGCTCACTATTAGTTATTCGCTGGCAGGGAGCTTAAGAGTGATTTATAGGTTTCCTTTTCAAAGGCTTGTCTGCATGGCCTAATTGGGGCTTATTTTGATCTAGATTGTATTCGAAAATGTTGAAACTACATGATTCACGGTTCAATGGTTAAATCATGGTTGAACTGGAATTAGGTTTCAATATGCTTTAAAAATCAATGTTTTATTTTTTGTTATTACTTGTATAGACTTAAATTGTGAAAATTAAATATTTTACGCTACATTCATATTTATTTATAGCTACCCAATTATCTTGTAAAAATATGGAAGTTAAAAAAGGTTGAATAAACAAGTAGAAATGTTAAGACTAATAATTAAATAATGAAATGAAATTGTCGATATTGATAGTGCAACAATTCAAAGACTCTCTCTTAAGTTAAAGCTTATTAAGCTTTAAGATTGTTGCAAAGACGACTCAGGGATGCTAGAGATGTCAGAGAGATAAGCATTGCTGGTAAGGCAACTCGGTAAGATGGCTAGAATGATCATCAGTTTGAAGAGCTAGTTGAAATGTTGCATGACCAAGGAAGAAGAGATTTCACTAGAATGATCACCAACGAAATTATCTTGCTAATATACTAAGTAAGAACTAAACTTCTCCAAGTTCAAGAACAGCATTTGGAAGCTTTAAACACAAAAACACAGGAAACAAAAAAAACTTAAATTGAAATTAAGGCTGGCGTACATCATAGCCATGGAGAGTTCTTTGCTTGCATGACTCACCTCACCAGTGAGATAGGAGAAATCACCAATTGGTATGATTCACAATGGGAGGCCGATATAAATCAAAGCCATTTCATTATTGATTCATGACTATATGACTCATTTGTAAGAAAGAAATCACTAGGGGAGCGTTTGGTAGAGGAGAAAAAAAAAATTACCAGGGAAATTCAATTATTGGGAATATAGTGGGAAAGTAAGTTTGGTAGGAAAGTTAAAAAAAAATTGTTCGGTAAGCCGAAATATTACCGGAAAAATTGGTGTAAGTAAAAAAAAAATTCATTGCGATATTAAAAAAAAATAAAAAAATTTCATTGCCACTTTTTGGTTGCCCAGGAAAATGAAGTGGACAAATTCTTGCAATTTTGCACATCACATCATATTCTTATGCAAATGAGAAGCCTATGCAAATTTTTTACAAACTCCTATCAAACATGGTATTTTTTAAATCCCATATGAACTTTCCTAGGCAAAATATTAAAACTCCCCTACCAAACACCCACTAAAATGACTGTTGGTGGGAAAAGAACTGCTTGAGTAGAGCCAAGTACCTAGGGCCATAGCATATATGACAAAGAACGGGGGTGAGAGTATGTTTATGACAATGGTTGAGGCCAGAGTGAGTCTAAAACAACGATTAGCAGGGCTAGACTATATTTCGAGCAAAAATTGGATTTAATCAAATTCATTGTAGCAGCGCTATAGCACTACCTGCGATCCCAATATAGCAGTTTTAGGGTTAGCAACTATGTGATGCTATCCGAGATTGATAATTATTAGGGATAAGGATGCTGCATCTGGGACATAAACTAGATGTGGACTTCACAAGAGTGCCAGTTATACCACCAACCACTATCCCACTAGAACGGTTTTTAGTTTCAGCCACTATTTGAAATTAATACCTATTAGGGATAAGGATAGTCAGGACTAGATTTCATCAACGACAAGGATTGACTGGGCCAGATTGCAACTGGGACAAAGTCCAATGGGACCATCTTTACCCTTATCCCTAATATTCAGGAAATCAAAATCCCTGATTACTAGAGTGTACGATAAGCTACGGGTGCCCGGGGGTGGGGTGGGGTGGGGATGGGGGTGATTCCTCCTTTGGAGAGAAAAGCTATTAGGATCGCTGAGTAGGAGTGAAGGGGATAAAACAGAGTGGGAAGCGCAGAGAGGGGATGAGCAAGAGTAATCAGGGATAAACCCCTGATTACTTGACTGGGAAGGTTGTAAGGAGAGACTCGCCTCTCTAAAGCCAGATATCGGTTTTATTTTCTGCATTTCTCTGTAATTTTCATACAGATGCTTGTAATATCATCTTGATATCAGTAAACATAATACAATTGTTACATTCTTGTTTCCTATTTGTGCATTCGGTGTTTCGGTTCTGTCAGATTTCAACATAGGTTTATGTTGTGGTATGGGCTGTGATTACGAAATATCTGTTGCAGCTTTTACTAATTCAAATCATTGACTCATGCTGATACGTTGCAGATGCTTGACAATTGTGCTGACGTGAGCGAAGATGAGAAGCAAATCATGTATTTGTGGAACTCATTTGTAAGGAAGCATAAGTAAGTTCTTTTCATTTTGGATGAACTCATTCAGTACATGCTTCTTATTCCTTGTTATGTTGATTTCCATCATTAGCAACAGTTATATTTTTTGCTGAATGTAGCTTTGAGCTTATAAGGTGATGGTCACATATCATCTGTGGTTCCAATGTATTTTTACTTTCTTTTGTTTCACTTATTTTGTGATTGTGGCAGTGTGGTGGCAGATACTCATGTTCCATGGGCATGTGAGGCTTTCTCCAAACTGCATGCCTCTGACTTTGCCCGATCCCCCTCGCTGGTTTGGTAACTAGCATCTCTCATGTTTGAATTTTACACCTTTGTTTTGTTGTTTTTCTTATCTTGTAAGCATCTTCATCACTGTCTTCTGTGGTAAACAAAACAAAACAATAGGTAGTCATGATCATATTACATATATAGAGGATGCAAGAACACAGTGGAAAATGTTCAAAATTCTGGAGTATCTCGAGGAAAGTCTAGTTTTTAATAGTTTCAACGATGTTGAAATTTCCTAGCCTGTCTTTCCAAAATAATTTTTTCATTGTTTATGTTGTCTCTCATAAAAGGATTTGAAGATCTAAATGCCTTCTATAAAATTTCAGCTTTTTATTCAGCATGATTCAGAAATATATATTTTGATTAGTAATAGTTGTGATGGTAATATGATGGACATTTAAATGATTGATATCTAGCCTTTTAAGATGATGTTGTTGAAGTTGGTATGTGAATAAAAATTATTTTTATGGTCGTTGATGCTTAAACTATTGGAATTTGTTTCCTGTATCATGCTACTGGCAATTCAAGATTATTCAAATATAGCATTTGCTATCAGCGCTAATATCTGAATCATAAAAGAAGATTTGATTATTATTATTTTTTTTTTTGCTATCTTAATTTCCCTTGGATGTTAATATTATGTTGTATTTAACAAATTTTAGTCAAAACCTACGAAAAGTTCTATGTTAAAACTACTTCTCATGTGTAAGCAGTGTATTCTAACGTTAGTTTGTTGTAAATGCAAAATTGAGCATATTTTTTTTTTTTGGCTTCAAATAGTAAGATGCCTTACATTTTATTTATTTATGTGTAAAGATATGGGAATAATTATAAAATTGGTTATGTTGACAGGTCTTGGAGAATATTTATGATCAAATTATACAATCATGGTCTGCTAGATGCTGGCACCTTAAATGACTGTAGTATTATTCTTGAGCAGTACAAGACACAGAATTTAGATCCAAAAACCTAGTGGCACTGTTATGCTTGTTTCCTAGAGTTTTACTATAAATTAGATGGGTAAAATTTTCATCCCTCGGACATGGAACTGTGCAAATTAAATCGATGGGTGTAGGTTAGTTGGCAACACAGGTTGAGTAGATGGGGAGAGAACCTAAGTTCGATTTCTATCAAATACATCTTTTTGGGAAGGGGCGAAGAGCTTTATCTGTGACTAAACTTCGATTTGGGATTAGTCTTATAACTGGCTTTAAAAGTTTAAGCTTGTGGGGATACCCAGGGCCGACTCACTTCAAAAAGGTAATTAGAGTCCGTATACCCAAAAACAAAGAAAGAAGGAACTGTACAAAATTTTCAGCAACTTTATATTTAATTGTGTCTATATATGATTATTCTTATGTTGTTGAGCATTTTCTGTTCTTCTGTCTGAATTTTTGCTCTCACCATTTCTTTATTGATATCAAAATTATGTTCATAGCTGGGGTCTCACTTTAAATATATTTTTGTTATGTTACTTCGTTACTTTTATCCCAGTTTTTATTTATTTTTTCTTGAAAAAGATAAGAGGTTATAATGAGCCATATCTCAAGAAAAAAACACTTCATGTTTGCATGACTACGGGTATTTATTTCAGTAAGGTATAAATATATTTGGAGTTTTTAACTGATAAGAGACTCCTTTTAAGAGGTAATATAGAAAGCGTTGTAGAAGAGTAGCTCGCGACAATGACTCAGCATGTGGATAGAATATTCTAGAATACTCTCAGTTGAGTTAGACTAGAAGAATTGGTTAAATTGTGAAAGTGACATGTTAGAGGCAGGCTGGAAATTGGGACTATCTTGGGGTGAGAAACAAGAGTGGGTAAGACCTCTGGAGCTTCTCTATTTTACCTTTCAGTTTCCTCCTTGTATTTTCCTTAAGTTTCCATCATTGTTCTTGTTTTCAAATACTATTTTGTAATGTTGCATTGTTTACATGTTTCTGTATCAATATCAAACTTCCTTTATTATGTTCCCTCCCTGTGTTGGTTAATGCCTATCAATTGGTATCAGAGCTCCGATCTAGGAGCTATGGTATTAGTTTAAAAAAAAAAATATGGTTCCAAAGTTTGATGGAGATGGAGATGATGCTTGGGGATGGTTAATCCATCTAGAGCAATCTTTCGAGACAAAGAAAACTCAAGAAAAAAGATGATAGAGGCTGGATATTGGGACTATCTTTGGCTTGGAAACCAGAGTGGGAGAGACCTCTCGAGCCTTTCGAATTGCTCCAAAAATATTTTACCTTTCAGTTTCCTTTTTGTATTTTCCTCAAGTTTCCATCACTGTTCCTGTTATCAAATACTATTTTGTAATGTTGTATTGTTTACATGTTTCTATATCAATATCAAACTTCCTTTAGTTTTGTTCTTTTACCTTTCAGTTTCCTCCTTGTATTTTCCTTAAGTTTCCATCATTGTTCCTGTTATCAAATACTATTTTGTAATGTTGTACTGTTTACACGTTTCTATATCAATATCAAACTTCCTTTGTTCTGTTCTCTCCTGTATTGGTTGATACCTATCATTAACCATGTTTCAAGTTGATGTATATTTAAAAAGGAAAAAAATTTCTATTCAGAACAGAATTAAATCTTTATCTTCCTTTTCCTAATTTTCAAATATGAATTCAAAAAAATTTCGATTATCTATATTGGATATTTATCTTCCCTTTCTATTTTGTAATTATTTTTCTATTTCAAGTAACAAAATCAAATCCTTATATTCTAAAATAAGGTTAGAAATTGATACACCAAATGCAAAATGGGCTGGCCAATATGTATTTGGCCAAATCACACACAGTTGAGACGGGGATGATGTTCTTTGTCTTTGGCTTGGAGATGTTGTATAGGAACATTATGCCTTTGTCCTTTGCTATCGTGGTGAGTTCGGATGGGGGAGGGGGGGTACTTACGAAGACACTCCGATGCTTAAGTCAGTATCAGAGGCAAGAGTATGTATGTGAATAATGAAATAGATAGATGTACCTGAGTGTGTACCCTCTGCTTATATAGCAGTTATGATGTCGCCTTCATAAGGCGGTATGACATCTGATTGGCCATGTTTGGGCTGCAGGTCAGACTAGGACCTAAGTAGCCTTATCTCCTTGGTATCAAGTTATCTTGATAAAGTCGCGGCGAGCTGGTGCCGTCCTCTGTTTACTAGTTCAAAGGCGCGATGAGCGTGCCTTGGTTCTTAAGTTAGCTTCCTTATTTTTGGATCTTATATCAAAGGGCGATTTCATGCGCGATAGGAGCATCGCGTCTTGCCATGCGCAATGGGGACATCGCGTCTGGCCTTGTGCGCGATGCTGACAATCGCGCTTTGCTCTGGACCCTTCATAAGATTAGGCTTCCTTGTATGTTGTTGGGCCTCTAATGGGCCTATTATATTTTATCCGATCAGTTGCCCCCTAGCTTGTAGTTTTGTCATGTGGCAAAGCTGTGAGGTATATATATGTGTTTGTGCGCGATATTTTTATCTTGCATGTCTTTTTTGATTACCGCGATAATCATGTTAAAATGTCATCATGATTTTAGCCGCTTAAAAATGGTGGATTAGACGTTAACTGTCACAAGCATTAAATGCTATTGAGATTACGTGGGTGTTTAATGGTAAGCGTGGGTGGCTTTGAAGTGTAAACGTTTTACCTTCTTTCCACGTGTCCCTGTAAAACCGTTTAATGCAACACGTTTTGTGACCTTCGAACTATCCGTTTGACACAACCTTTCATATTTGTACTGAGCTTTTCGGTTTGGAGGGAAAATATTTCATTGAGACCGTGAGAGATCCTCTGATCTTTAGTGCTTGCTGATTTCTTCTGCTTTTCCGGTGTTGACACGTCTTTCTCGTGGTTAGTTTATCCGAAGTATATAAATCTCAGGTATGTTCTTCATCCTGTTTTATTACCTCATATGTTTCATCGTTTATGTTTGGGATATGTCTGATAATCGCAAATTTGTGAATTTTATCAGATTAACCGAACGGTCTGGCTCGTCCAGTCCTCCCTCTAAATCACTACCTAGATCAAGGTCGTTTGGAACTAGGGAAGTATGGCTTACTGACAAGTATGCTACTCCTTGTTCTAATATTTTTGTAAATGATAGCCGTTTTCCTTTTAGTAGACGGTTTGAACTTGGCTCGTCTTCGCGGCCCTTGAATCGCGAAAACTCTTTCTCAACAGAGTTCGTCGTTGTTCCCAAAGATTTCCTTTAAAATGACTGGTCCTATTTTGATTTCAAGTGATTCGTCTTCAAGTTCTGAATGTAGTGATAGGTCTGTAAATACAGTAAACCCTAGACCATCCTCTCCAAATTCATTGCGCGATACTTCATCTCCTATTGCGCAAGATGCTCGCGGTCAAAAGAGTCCAAGTCCCTTACCTTTAAATGTAATATATCCGGTAGGGTATCCTTTTAAGAAAAGGAGTTTTGATGATTATAAATCTGCATTTGCTGTCTTTGCTTCCTCTAACTCGTCTTCTTCTACTGATTCTTCTTCTTCTGAATCAGATTTTGTTTCCCCTCAAATCAAGGAAATTATGACGAGGCGTGGTGCTGGTGATAAGAACAAGAAAAAGCTAAATCCCGATTCTAAGAAGAAAGTTTTATACACTGATCCCGAAGGAGAATCCCCAATCAAGCGTAATCTGCGGGATGAAGAATCCCTAAGTTGGGTAGCAGATACGGTACTGGATACTTCTTCTATATTCTGCTCGCCAGAAGAATTGGCGAAAGTAACATCTGCCATCCACATCACCCCTGACAAAGCCTTTGATGATCAATGGGAAATTGGTGTCGTGCCGAAAAACGAGCGCGTTTGCTCATCGCGCGCAGAAGGTTCTACCAGGCATTTCTTTATGATGTATGCCTATTTTTTCTTGTCAATAGGAGTTCGCCTTCCTTTTTCATCTTTCGTCTGTAAGTTGCTGGCACATCTAAACGTGGCGCCCTCACAGTTGACCTCAAATGCCTGGGGTTTTATCAGGGTATACGAGATGGTCTGCAAGGCGTATAATCTCTTTCAATCTCCAGAGTCATTTTTATACATGCTTAGCGTGATGGGCCCTCATTCGAGCTGGGTGTCTTTTAGAAGCAAGGTGAAATTCTGTGAATCATACTGCCGGAAGATTAACAAGTGGACCGCAGAATACTTTAAAATTTATCTTGCTGAAGGTGCCACCCCTTTTTTCTTGGGATAAGATAACACTCCCATCTTGCCTTTGTATTGGAACGAACATCCTGCTGAGGGTGCAAATTTGGTCTACAATTTTGATGATTTGAGCGATCTGGAGCAGCAGACTGTGACCGCGCTAAGTAATATTGCGTGTGAAGCTTCAGATACAGGCTATTTGAGCACATTCACAATTTTGAACGAATATACTGATGATGATATTCGAGCCTTTTTGGGTAATTTCGACTTTTATCCGATTGTTGAATTTATGTATAAAGAATTTTGTGTAGTTTATGTTGTGGATTTGTATATATCTAAAGCAAACTCCTTTTTTACTGTGTTGCAGATAGTTCAATGGCTGCTTCTTTAACAGGGTTGGAAAAAATTGCAGCAATGCGAGCTGGTGAGGGTGCTGGTCCCTCGATGCCTGTCGGTCCCTCGATGCCTACCGCGCTTCCTCACCCCACAAAATCTGCTAGCGTGGAATCAAGCCAAGCTGCGGCTGCGCGCTTGAAGTCACCAAGTCGTTCTCTTGTCGTCGCGCAAGTCGTTCCTCCTCTAGATAAAGAAGCTGAAAGTTCTCCAAGGGGACACAAGAGGAAATTTACTGAAACTAGGGTAAATTTTCTAGATTTGGTGTACTTGGGGGAAGGTTGGGGTTTTGACAAGGATATGTTTGCCAAGGGCAGGGAGATAGGACCGCGCATTGAAGCGCTTCCAAGAGAAAAATGGCTAAGGACTTCTTCCAACCTGAGTATAGCGAATCAGTTTATTATGTCCGTGCCTGGTAAGTAACTTGCTGCTTTGTTATATGTTTAAGATGTGATATCATTCTGTTATCTATAACATATTCTATGTAGTAGGTTTTGTTGACTTTTTGAAGGAACGCATTGATGAATTGAAGGGTGATATCGCTCAGCAGCGCACATATTTTGAGGATAAACTGAAGAAGGATGAAGAGGAGATGGCTAAGATGAAACAAGATTTGGAGAAAAAAGACAATGCTTTGAAAGAAATGAAAACCTCCAATAAAGAATTGAAAGCGGAAAAAATTGAGTTAAACAAGCGTGTCATGGAGCTGGAGGGATGTGCTGATACGTGGGGCAGAAGAGAAGACTCTCTTAACTAATGAGGTTAAGAAGTATCAAGGTCTGTTCGAGAAAGAGGCTGAGGGAACCTATTCCAATATCATGCAACAAGTGCGTTTCTTCAACCCCACAACCAAGTTGGACAATGTTCACTATTTTTACTATATCAAGGATGGCCAACTTATGTCATCCATGGCGATTCTCTCAACTTCTTTCTTATACACATAATACATAATTAATTCATCTCACCTATGTTTAATCAACACTACCTCCTTATGGATTTAAATTCCATATTTCAATATATCTCCAATTAACACTTCACTAGCATAATAATTTCAAGTGGTCAAATCCCTTAGGATTAGACATCAAATATTCCATTTATTTCTCTACATTAACCATCTCAATTTATTCAAGTGTACACCATATATCAGAGACATATAACTTTTAATCAAACATAAAATATTCAAGCTCGTACCTAAGCATACTTGTTCATAATTTCCAGTAATTCATCAGGTTCCAAGTCACTCACCTTAATGAAGTCAATTCATCAAGTCCACCTGTACATAATTTAGGTTTGTTTACAATTTTTACTTATGATAAAAATTTGTAAATTTAATCTAAAATGTCAGACAAAACATCTAAGTTGTTTTTCTTAAGTCCCCTAATATTCATATTTTACTTACCGCCATCTCTGCCCATGGAGCAGTCAACAGTGCAGCCACAACATCAGGCTAAGGACTTACATTCGGTGCTCCAGGGTTGTCACGCAGGCCTCTTATGATGATCACACATATAACACAAAGGAATGGTTTGATCAGACCCACACTAAGGAATCACATATGCAATAATCGACAAGAGTCTACATACAACTATACAATACTTAACACAATCATACAAAATCAGAGTTCCCTAGTAAACTGCTCTGATACCATAAAATATAACATCCCGTTGTACACCGGTATTGTTAACATTAATTATGATATTAAGCGCAGTTACAATCACAACAGTTCATTTATAAAAATGCGAGTAAACTTTTTCCGTTTATTACGCGAGCATTTAAAAC